TCTCATCATTGATGTTTCTCTCTCTCTCTCTCTCTCTCTCTCTCTCTCTCTCTCTCTCCCACTTCCTTCCTCTCTGAAATCAATTTAAAAAGAAAAAAAGAGATAACCCTTAGGTAGAAACCTGAATGAAGAAGCAAGTAACATGAGGGACATGGGTAGCAGGAAGTAGAAAGACCCTGAGGTAGGAAGGAAATTGATGTTTGAAAAAAAGAACAAGTCCCATGTGGTTGGGTGAGCAAGATGGCAGCTGAGGCCAGGCACTGAAGGTCAAAGGGGCTGTGGTGGGTAGTTTGGGTTTTATTCCAAGAGCAGCGAGAAACCAGTGGAGAATGTTGAGTGAGAGGGGAGTTAGGTCCCTTTGGCTGCCACATGGATAATGGTCATAGAGAGGCCAAGATCAGGACCGGGAGCCCAGAAGAACTAGAGTATCTCCAGACAGGAAGAGACGGTAACCTGGACCAGGTAAAATCAACAGAGGTGGTGGGGAGTGGCCAAACTCAGGATGTATTTTGCAAGCAGACACAACATGATTTGCTAATGGTGTGGACGTGGAAATGAGGGATGGAGAGAATCAAAGACAGTTCCTGGGGTTTGGGCCTGGGCAACCTGGGGAGGTGGTGGAGCCATCTACTGAGCGGGGAGGCTTGGTGTGAGAACAGGCCTAGGGTCTGGGTCTGCAGTTGGCTATGGGCTACACAAGTCAGTATGACAGCGTGGAACTGGAGGGCACTCTGGGACAGCTTGCAGCCTAGGGCTCCTGTAGGTGGCTCTTGCCCTCAGAGCATCTATAAAAGGCTCTGACTCCAAATGCACTGCCAGGCCCTTTTTATAGAAAATCAGCCTTGTTTCTCAGCCTGAGGCCTTGATGTCTGAGGTCCCTCACCCTCACTGGATCTCTGTTCTTTCCTTGTGTAGCGCCAACATCACCAACATTCAGCTGGACTATGGCAGGATCCAGATGTCTGTCCCTAAGGAGTGGTTCTCAGCAAACATCTCACTTGAATTTGACATTGACTTGAGAGTGTAAGTCATGCAGAAGCAGGTGTAAGAGGTGCGCCTCCTCCTCACTGGGAACCAGGGAGTTGGGGGGAGGGGGGCCGGGAGGGAATTTGGCAACCTGTGGAACACAGATCTTTCTGGCCCCAACCTGGTTTCAAATCTTGGTTTCCAAATTCACTCACTGTGTGACCTTGGGCAAGTCACTTCATGTCTCTGAGCCTTAGTTCCTTCAGCTGAAATGTGGATGGCAATCACTGGTCGGTGGAGGCAGATCATTTGCTCATTTAAATCTCTGTGCATTCACTACACTGACTTAAAAAAGAGAAGCACTGTACCTCATCACCTTTCTCTTCGCTTCAAACTATCCTTTAACATCTACTGCCTCAAGGAAAGGGAGGCTGCAGCTCAACAGTAAAAACATAAAAATTAAGTAAACTCTCAACCTTTGAATTTCCAAAGGCCCCTAATCTGCTCTATTAAAAGGATTTTCAGAAGCCACTCTGGCTAATAGCGGTCTCCTCCTTAACCACCGAGCACAGGATTTAACACGCCGGCAATGTGGAGCCCACTGGGCCGGTTTGTTGAAAAGGACTCGGAGTGTAGACAGTGCCATCCACACGGAGAGCCACTCTTCGTGCTGGCTGCTTCCACCTCCTGCCTTTTCTCTGTCTCCTGCCATTTGCCCTCTTCCTCCCTCTCTCATCCTCAGGAGGCCCTTCAAAAACAAGACTGCAACAACACATGCACGCATGAACCTCTCTGTGGAGTTCTGGCTGGAGAAAGATGAATTTGGCCGGAGGGATCTGGCGATAGGCAATTGCCGCGTGGAGCCCAGCAGCGTCCATACAACAGTTCTAACTGAGTAAGGTCCTAGCTGCCCCTCCCCAGGGCTGGGCCCCTTCCTGACTAGCCCAAGCTGGCCCTATCTTCCTGACATGTCTCCACCACCTCCTGGACGGACCCCAAACAGATCTCACCCTTTCCCCAGGATCTGTTCCTTCTCCTGTGTCCCCTCCCAGTGATGGCGCTGCCACCTTCCCAGAAAGAAACCAGACTCTTCCTCCTCCTCACTCCTTGCAGCCCATCTTCACCGGCTCCCAACAGTGACTTCCTGGCAGCCCCCACTGCTCCCTGCTCTCCATCCGTCTCTCCATCCTTCATTGTGCAGCCCATGGTCCACTTCCTGGACCATTGCAGGAGCCTCCTCTGACTTCCCTTGACTGTACCTCACCTCCTTCACTCCATTCTCCTCCTGCAGCAGAAGCAACTTTCTAGCACAAGAATCTAGTCATGTCCCCCAGCCGCTGCCTCAAACCTTCCAGTGGTTCTCCAATGGCCTCAGTATGCAGAGCAAACTCCTGGATGTCACTCAAGGCCCTACTTGTCCTCTCCCCTGCCCCACCCTGCAGCCTTTTACCCCATAGTCTCTCTCAAGGACCCACCCCTTCATCAACACACCATTTATTTTCACACCACCGTGCTTTTGCACATGCAGATCCTTTTGCTGGGATGCCCTTCCTTCTCTAAAGCTCCTCTTCACCACTCATTCACTCAACAAATATTTACTGAGAACTTACTATTTGCCAGGCACAGCATGCTTCATGCTAGTGATATAGTAGTGAACAAGACATAAAAAAAAAAAACCACACCAAAGCTAAAGGAAGATCTATACACTAGCTGACCAAGTCTGTCAACCTCAACAGACTATAAGTCCCTCGAGGGCAAGATTTCTTTCTGACTTCTCTATGTGGGTCCAGAATGCTGAAAGCAACAAAGTTCTCAGTGGATGTCCATTCATTTACTCATCAGACATTCACTGAGTTCCTAGATCATACCAGACATTCACCGAGAGGACAGGGCAAGGAAAAGACTGTGGACTCTGGAGCTCACTGACCTGAATCTAATCTAACCTACACTTACTAGCTGTGTGACCTTGGACAAGTCACCTCTCTGAATTGTCCCTTTGCTGCTGTCAATGATGCTTCTTGTAGAGGGCTAGCAACAGATGACATAACGGTGTAAGGTATAGTCAATATACTGCACCTAGTAATGTTTTGTCTGTATTGATCTATTCTGTACATCTACCTCTCTTTCTAGAGATCTCTCAGCACAGGTAAAACATTTTGTCCGCAATTTTAGACAAAATCTGGAAAAAGTTATCCCACATCTAATAGAAGATCAGGTAAGTTTGAGAAAAATATGTTTGCCTTGGGCATCCTTCAGTCCGAGGGTCTGGGCATATATATTGGCAGTTTAGCAAAGAGTTTCAAATCTTGGGATTTAGAATCTGAAAGATCTCAATTAATATGTTCAATTTTGCCCTCTACTGACTGTGTATCCTTGGGCAAGTGGCTTAGACTCCCTGGGCCCCGGTTTCCCATCTGTAGCGTGGGAACCACCACAGTCCCTATTTCATAAAGATGTCGTGAGGATTCAGGGGATAAAACATGGAAGTGTTGTGTATGGCACCCAGCATGCAGTTGGCACTCAATACAAGGAAGCTAAGCCACTCTTGCCACGATTCCATGTGGAAGGAAATCCAGTAGAGTCTAAGCTTCCACCACAGGCCCTGTCGTTTTCTTTTCCCCGTCCCGGATCTGACCCTTCTCTCTGTGCTGGTGGTGCAGGTATGCCCTCTAATTGGTGAAATCCTCAGGCAGCTGGATGTGAAACTGCTGAAAAGCCTCATCGGTGAGTGTCTGCATCCATCCAGGGAGGACGCAGGATGGAAAAATGGCTGGAAGAGCTGTCCCACGGGGCCCCCAGTGAGGCCTGTTGAGGGAGCAGTGTCTGCACACGCTCTGAGAACACTTAGAGAAGACCACATTCCTGCCCTCAAGAGAGCTGGGACAGCAGAGGGCACTCCTACACGCAGGCTGGGCCCCACTGTGTCACCTAAACCTCCACATTACCAGAGACTGTAGCTCTTCCACTCAATCCTTTAGGGAGCACTGGCCCCACCCCAAACCTGAGACCACTCACTCCAGTTGCAGATTAAACAGATATAGTCCCCACCCTCTTGGAGCTCACAGTCTAGTGAATGATTGACAACAAGAGCAAATAATCAGATATCATTTGGAAAGAGTTGTAATGGGAATGCTCTGGGCACAGGCCCTTGGCTGGCATGGGTGGATGAGTTGTCTTCCCTGTGCACAAGGGGTTGGAGGAGCGGACAAGCTGGTGACTGACACCAACTCTTCTCCTTACAGAATAGCCTTCTGCTCGTGAACTCAACCAGCTGTGTGTCAGCCAACCCTCCCCAGGCCAGGCCTGAGTGTCCAGCTGCCTATTGATGATCGGAAAGAGATTCTACCTCTTGTAACCTTAAGTCTCCCTTAGAGTGGGGCTTCCACTGCCCCCAAAACTTTACACAGACTCCATGGACACCCTGTCCTCCCCCATAATAAATTGCAGCTCTTAAGGGTGCTGAGATCCCCTGACAGAGCCCTGAGTTTGGATTCCAGAAGTAAAGACCTGATGAAGGCTTATCCTGAGACTAAATATGCCTGGGTTTGCTCATCAACCCAGAAATACCAGAGATAACACTCTTTTCCTTGCATCCAGAAGACCATCCACAGATGTGCTCTTCAGTGCAGGGAGGGTCGTCTTATTAAGATTTCCCATGCCTTCATTCATTTAAACCCATACTTATTGAGCACCTACTGTGTGCCGAGCACTTTGCTGAGCTCCAAGGGAGTATAGAGAAAAAGTGACAGAGTAGAAAAGCATAAACATCTGTTGGCATCGAACAGATCTGAGTTCAGATTTAATTCAGCCCAACGAGAAGTTCCATGAGGGTATGGACCATGTGCATCAGGGTGACCAGTGACCTCCCCCCCGTCCAGCTACCAGCAGAGGGCTGACACAGAGTGTAAGCTCAGCCAATATCTGGGGTTAAATGAGTGAGCGAGTCCTGGTCTTAGGACTCGCTAGCTGCGTTTGGGACAAGGCACTTTACCTCTTGGTCTTCTTCACTTGCAAACTGGGAATAGAAAGCCTACAGGGTGTGGGGCAATAGGAGCCTTCACACTGCTGGTAGGAGGGAGGTTGTACCACCACTTTATAAAACTTGGTGGCAGCACCTCCTAATGTGCAACGTATAACATGGCAATTCCACTCCTAGGTCTGTGTTCAACAGAAACATGTGCTTGTGGGCACCACAAGACATGTACAAGATTGCTCATAGCAACTGTGGTCATATTGGCCCCAAAGTAAAAAAAAAAAACAAACAAACGCTAAATGCCCATCAAAAGAATGCATAAACAGGAGATCTTGTGGGGTAGTCACCCAGCAGAATGCTCTACAGTAATGACAGTGACCTGAAAAAGCACACGGCGACACAGATGCATCACACACACCTAAGGGAACCAGACACAAAAGAGCTCATATTGCATCTCCCATTTACGTGAAGCCAAAACAGCAAAACTAATCTATGCTGTTCAAGGTCAAGATCCTGGTTACCCCTGGGGAGTGGCTGAGCGACTGGGAGGGGCTCAAGCGAGGCAACGTTCTGTTTCTGGATCTGGGTGCTGATTATGGGGAGGGTGTTCAGTTTGTGATCATTCGTTGAGCTATTCGCTGATGTGCATTTTTCTTATTTAGGTTATACTTTAACAAAAAATTTATAAATAAAAATATTGACCATGCAGGATGTTTGTCAGAGTACATGAAAAGCTGTTTGCAGGATGTTTAACATATGCTAAGTCCATAGGGTACGCTTATTTAATGTCATTTAATTCATTGTTAATTATTTGATTAATGACTGTTAATTCTTCCATAGGGTACGCTTATTTAATGTCATTTACTTCATTTTTATTTGATTAATGTCTATTCAGTTATTAAATATGAATTACCACCCTCCTCCACCTGAGGATAGTAAAAGCCTACTGAGAAATCAAAGGGAAATAACACACCTATTAATAATAGTGGCACACACATGTTAAGCTCTTGGCATGTGCCAAGCCTGGTGCCAGAGGCTCACATCAGCATTTCACCAAATTCTTACAGCAACCCATGAACTACTATTCTATTTTACCCGTAAGGACATAGAGACTCAGAGAGAGAAAGCCACTTGCTCAAGGTCACACAGTGATGAAATGACCAAGTTGACTGAACTCAGGCAGCCAGACTCTGGAGCCCATACTCTTGACCACTGTGAAGTCCCCATCCAATCTCCCCTCCCTCCCTTCTAACATCAGCCCCCCAAACACACACACACAAACACACACACACACACACACACACACACACACACACGGGAATGTGACGAAATATGCGTTCAGCTGAATTGAGAAGCTCAAATAAGGAAGTGTCAACATCTCAGAGATGAGAACAGGGCAAGAGAGACTCATGTCCCCATCTTTCAATTCAGACTCCCTAATCCGAAATGCTTCAGCGGGGATTTGCAACCCTAAACGCCCATGTTCACACAGATGAATCCCCTGATGGCCTTGAGGTTGTGGGGTTCTTCCTGTTCATGATTAAAGAGCAAACATGGGAGGGGTGGGCCCATCCTCCAATGAGGTTGCCTGGTCCCTTGGCCAACTTGGCTGTAGTCTGCCTTCCTCTTGACCCCTCCAGGGGTGGCCGGGGACCTTCTTCCTCAAGGGACCTCCTCCCATTTCTTGCATTGTTTTCATTTGAAGGTTCCCAGAGCTGTGGACACATTGTGTGTTCTCCTAGAAGAGCTTGTTGCACAATGGGCCTTTGTTATGAGACTGGGGTCTGGAGTGGAGGGTGATTTAAGCAGAAATTCAGCCCCAAATTCTCAGAAATTATCTGTGCCCATAGCTTCAGGCCCTTCCGTTGCAGAGGTCTGACTCTGTGTCAGCTATAGGGCCGCGCACTGCATTTGTTTCCCCATTTAACCCTACCCGCATCCCCGGAGGTAGGTGCCGCCAGCTCCCTGTTGCAGGCAAGGAGACCGCGGCTGGCAGAGGAGAAGCTCTTGCCCGCAGTCGGCTGAACTGGGTTTGGAACTCGGCGCTGTCTGATTTCTCAGCACTTTCTGAACTGAAGACTGTGATACAAACTTGCTCTTGAAGTTACAAACACTAAAGCCAGACGGCCCCGGTGCAGTCTGAGTTCACGCCTTCCTGGCTAAGTGACCTGGGCAGCTGACTGTCCTCCCTGGGCCTTAGTGTCCCCACAGATGTTAGAAATGGTATAAAGCTCTAGTGTCCCATGAAAAGCTTTTACTATTATTATTATTATTATTATTAGCTGTAAATGTAAGAGGGAAGATTAATCTTCAAGGTAAGTGCAACTTGCCTTAAGCAAAAATATATTTTCTCATCGAAGTTGGGGCACGTAGCTCCCCGTGAACCCTGTTTGCCCTCTGTCCCCCAACAAAACCACTGGGGCTCCCAAGGCCACCTGACGATCCCCCTCAAACTCAGCCCCCACCTGATCTTGCTCCGGGAACAGAACCAACGTCCCGACACTCCCAGGTTTTGCAGAGTAGGCCGTGGGTGGATCAGAGCCCCTTGAGGAGATTAACTCTGCCCTTTAGAAATGGACCTCTCGGTTCACAAAACACCACCAAGAAAGGCTCCCAACCACAACCACAACCACATCAGATACGTAGGAAGGAGAGGGCACCACCTACAGTTTCTGAGAAACACGTTGGGAAGGCGTTGACATCACTTGAAGTGTCAGCAGCGTGTCCTTCCACGTTTCCTGATGCCCCATGACGCTTGCCCTGCTTGGGGCAATGGGACAGGCAGCACCTTGGCTTCAAGGAGGGGCAACCTCAGAAGCAGAGAGAAGGCTTTTGAGTTTCCAGCACCGGGGCCTTTGACAAAGCAGTAGTGACATAAGACAGACCAGTGCTCACCAGAGGGGGGTGGGGGGCGGGCGTGACTCGAAAAAGGCAGCATGAGGGTGTTTGGGGCTGATGGAACTGTTCAACTCCCCGGTTATGATGGTGGTGACAAAGCTACATGTGCATTAAAATTTATAGAACTACACACCAAAGGATAAAAAGCCAGTTTTACTGTGGGTTGATTGTTTTATATTTTTTCAAACCTGGGCTTTTCCATTTCAAAACTCAGGGCACAGGAGACATCAAGAATAGCACATATATAATGAATTAAAGCCAGGTTTCCTGCCCCAAGACTAGAAAAGTCCCCATGCTGGGTTGGTAGAGTATGAGAGTCCAAGAGAAATTGAGAAGAACATAGTTCTGGTGGGTTCTGGGAAGTGCCCTTGCTACTGCCCAGGCAAAACCTGTTATGGGGCAACCAATACCCCAAGTTGAGGTGCAGGAGTCAAGGACAGAGAACATCTGTGCCCAAATCCATCCCTTTCTGCCATCAGACATATGCAGCTTCCTTTCTTCACACCAACGTCTGTTGCCGGTTCAGTAACTGGATGGATAAGCTTGAACCAGTCCCCTTGACTTACCTGCCTCAGTTTCCCTGCAGATAGCAGCAATCAGACCCAACCCAAAGAGTGGTACCCAGATAACAAAAAACGGGACCCTTTTAAGGATGATTGACAACACACACGCTCTGGAAATAATCTAGTGAGTGCTTGAATGGATAATTGAGGTCAAGGCATGACCCTGGGCCCTTGGCGGCCTCGCTGGACTCTCACAGGAAGTGCGAGCCGTTCCAGGGAAGATCTGGCAGGAGGGAAAGCAGAGTGGTTCACTGATGACAGGAGTGTCAAGACACAGGGACAAGTTCTGACTCCACTGCTCATCCACAACTCGCCCTTGTGTCCCTGGAAGTTGTCACCATCTCTGAACCTTGGTGTCCTTATCTAATATTTGAAGGACAACAATACCAACCCCTTCTGAGGAAGACGAGGTTAAAAAGTATGGAGGGCACCCAGCACATAGTAGGTGTTCAATAAATGTGCATTTCCTCCTTTCTTTCTATTGCTTAATAAGGTGTTAGGTTTTGCAGGGCAAGACCTACTCTCACTGGTCTAAGAACTTGATCTCTCTATGCCTCAGTTTTTTCATCTGTAAAACAGATTGCCAAGGTCTAAACTGTGGGGACAAATGCCTTATTACTTCATTCGGGAAAGGGAAGAAGAGAGGCTAAGGTAAAAACCAGGATGCCACAGCATCCCTCAGGCCTGGGAAGCTGGAAAGACTTTCCCAGGATCTGAGACTCTCCCATGAAATTCCATGACAGCATGAAATTCACAGATGTGGGAACGCAAGTCAGTAAGCGTAGAGCACAGCGACTCAGAGAAAGGACTGCAGTGTGAGTGCCCCAGCCCCACGTCCACTGTACGACTCTGCACGTGTCAAGTCGCACTCTGAGCCTCAGTTTCCCCTGTGACGATGGGAGTGCTCGTTCCCACCTCACACAAGCTGTGAGGATTCATGAGCTGCTGCCTGTGAAAAACAGCGTGGTCCTGTCACACAGCAAGGGCTCGGCAAGTGTTATCTGTCGATGCCGATTTATTGTTATTGTTTCCCCATGAGTGTGTGGCTCTGGGCACTTATCCCCAGTGGGCCTCAGTCTCCTCCTCTGCAAAGGAGGAGCAGCAACCCCTCTCTCCCAGGGTTATGGTGAGAATGGACAGCCCACAAATAAAGGGAAATCAGAAGCAATTCCAATGGTTCTCAACCTTCCTAACGCCGCGACCCTTTAACACAGCTCCTCATGTTGTGGTGACCCCCAATTTCATTGTTACAAATTGAACATAATTAAAGCGTAGTGATTAATCACAAAATCAATGTGTAATTATATATGTGTTTTCCGATGGTCTTAGGCGACCCCTGTGAAAGGGTCGTGACCCACAGGTTGAGAACCAATGAATTAGACTGTTTTTGACACTTTAAGAACAAGATTCCTCTAGTTGGAGAAAAAGACCTGGACAGAAATGGAAAAGGGCCTAGATGTGAGAAGGCTGGTGCTTTCTCCCCGTGTTCCGAATTTGATCGTCCAGGTCACCTTGGAACGTGGGTCCCCAGCCTCAGCCCCGCTCAGGAAACCATGAAGTCTTGAGTAACATCCCCATCTCAGGTTTTTCTCTGTTTAACTTGTTAATCAAATGGCTTAACTGACCCACTTACTAATATGATTGGCAATTATTTACTTTGGAGAGCCCTGAAAGACACCACCAGATTGCAGAATTCTGAATTCTCTAGAAACCCATCATCCGATTGCTCGTTTCCTTATTGCCACGCTATAAAAGGGGCTGCCTCCCTGGCAGGAGCGAGCAGAAGAGGGAAGAGGAGACCAGGACAGCCACCAGAACCTCTGAGAAGCCCAGGTGAGACCGGCCCGTTCTGCTCCTGCTCTGTGGCCCTGAGTGGCAGGGGTGCCAGGCTCTTTGCTGTGGGGTGGGCACTGGCTGACTGCACTTAGGATCACTCATTGGGGGTCTTCTTAAAGGAAACAGGACTGGCCATTTTCATGAGGATGGCCAGTCATTCTGCTTCTCAAGGAAACCAGTAATGTCAATATAGAAGCATTTGCATGTAGAAAAGGGAATTCGGTGGTGATGGGAGGCACGTGACTGTAGGTGTACACTGCTGAAATCTCCCGTGGGCTTGCTCTTCATATCCTAAGGCAAAATCGCTATGGCTCAAGTGCAACCTTGAGGCTATTACTACCCTTCTCTGGTCCCCTGATTCTCCTTGTGAAATGAAGACTTCGAATGGCCCAGGATTTCCCCAGCAGTGGTCTGGATGAGATGGTGGCTATGACCGTATGCTCTCTGATAGTCTGTGACTCGCAAGGGCTTCCACAAACCATCGCAGGCTGGACCCGGACCAAAAGATTTAAGGAGGAGGATGGCAAAGCAGTTCAGTTCCTCAGCTACTTGGCATGCTTAAGTTTTTCATTTGCTTTGTCTAAAGAGTTGGAACTAGTGGCAATGATTCAAGCCATTGCAAGCAAGCCAATTAGAGAGTAAATCTGAGGGCACTTAATTTAAACAGAAGTCTCTGGGTCAGACAGATCTGACTTCAAATCCTGTCCTCAGGTGTACTCGTGACCTTGGGGGAAGTCACCTAAACTCACTAGGCCCCCGTTTCCTCACCTGAGCAATGCAGATGATTAGTGCCACATCTTAGGTTGTGGCTAAGATGAAAAAGTTACTGAGTGTGGAGAGCTCAGCCCGATGCCTGGCACAGAGGAAATGCTGAGTAGTGTCAGCTATTGCTATTCTCTCCCCGGTGCTCTGAGGGCCAGTGGCGGGTGGTGGATAAATTTCTCTCTGGTATCCATGCCACAGTGGGCCTGTCATTCTGTCCACAGATACCAAGGAGAGAAGATGTTTCAAATTGGGGGCCTCATTGTCTTCTGTGGGTTGCTGACCCAGACCACAGCCCTGTTGGACGCCCTGCCCTTGCCCTTGGGTCAGGCCCAATCCTTGCCTCTGACTCCAGCCCTGGCCTCAAGTCCCACAGATGGTGCTGGAAGCCTGATAAGTGGTAAGTGAGAGTCTATGACAACCTCCTTCAGGTGGTGTGTGTGTGTGTGTGTGTGTGTGTGTGTGTGTGTGTGTGTGTGTGTGTCCAATCATGGAGGGAAGGAATGAATGGGGAAAAGAGGCTGAGGATCTGAAATAGTCAGATCTGACCCTTAAGAACACCTATACCCATTTCCAGCTCTCAGCAATGGCCTGCTCTCTGAGGGTCTGTTGGATAGTCTCACAAACCTTCCACTCTTGGATATTCTGAAGACTGAAGGAGGCAATTCTGGTGCCCTGATTGGTGGCCTGCTTGGGAGATTGACTTCAATGATCCCTCTCCTGGACAACATCCTTGAGTGAGTAGCCCTAAAGTAGGGCCTTGGTCCCCACCAGAGAACCTCTGTTGGGGATCTGTTTGCCCCAGGCAGTGACCCTGAAGGAAGGAGATGGGTGGACTGAACACGAGGCCAGGACTCAGTCCGAGACCCTTCTCATAGTCTGGCAGGGAACACCAGTCCCCTTGAACCAGCAATTACACTCAGTCCTAAAGCATATCCTGAGTCCCCAGCATCATCTGTAATCCTCACGACAACCCTCTGAGATTGATTTAATAATCCCCACTTTGCAGAGAGAAAAATTAAAGCTAGAGGGATGCAGAGTGAGAGATCTGACTAATTTACTTAATTCCAACGTCAAGGTGTTTCCCACTACGTGGTGGTAATTTTGTTCTCACCTTTGGAATTCCTTAGAACACAGGTGGCCTTTGATGTAAGCAAGAAAGTGTAACCACTCTCCTCACTGACATCATTAATATGATATCCATGGAATGACTTAATATGGGTTTCCTATAAGACATTTGAGAGCTCGCTAAGCAAGAAGGAATAGTGGAAAGCTTAATGCAATGAGCTGGCAGAGCCTGGGTCCTTGATAGGGCTGGATTAAAGCAATTTCCAAGATTCGTACCCACCCAGGTGCTTGACCCTGACTTAAAGACAGACAGATAGCCTTGTGTTTGATTTCCAAATGCACCATGTACTTGCTGGGTGACCTGGGACCAGGCACTCAGTCCCCCTGGGTTTCTCGGTCCCACTTAGTTTCTCTATCTATAAAATAAATATTATGGTATCCACAGAGGAAAGCTGTTGGGAAGACTGGAAAAGATGCAACCACCTGGCACAGTGGCTGGCTCAGAGAAGAAGCTTCCTTCCATCCTCTCTCCATTCTCCCTGACTTCCTACTTCTCAGTCTCCATGACAAACACTGTTAATTAACCTGCCACTAAAAGTCATGGCAGCATGAGTGATTCCAACTATAAATGTTTGTTAAAAACTTACTCCACTTGCCCATACAGCATCCACTCGTCCACTTACCCATCCATTTGTCCATCCTTCCTTCCATCTAACCACTTACTCTTCCATGCCTCCACTCATACATTTATCTACTCACCTGCTCATCATTCCATAAAGTCAACCAATATGGAGTAGCCCCTTTCTTTGTAAGGCTCTGGACTGGCATACAGAATGCACATGCAATCCAGACAGAATGCAAATATAATTCAGTCTCTATCCTAGAATACCTCACAGACTCAAGTTGAGGAGAGGGCCCTGGGTATGTCAGGATCTGGCCCAATGCAGAGATTGGGGAAGACTGATGTAACACGGAACCCATGTGGTTTTGCCACAAGACTCCTCTCCTGTCTCCCCCATCCCACCTCATGGTTAGCCCCACCTCTGAGATGGGTATGATTGGGTTAAAGGTGGTTTCTAGGTTTGGGGCTCATGTTTCTCCCTTCACCTCCTATGCAGTGTGAAAGTCACTAATCCCCAGCTGCTGGAACTTGGCCTTGTGCAGAGCCCTGATGGCCATCGTCTCTACCTCACCATCCCTCTGGGTGTGGTCCTCAATGTGAAAACGTGAGTAGGCTCCAAGTAGGGATGGGAAGGTAACTCACCAAAGGAGACCCTGATGACCATGGGTAGCCAAAAAGGGTGGGGGGGGAGGTGGACGGGCATTGGAGTTTGACATATGCCTCCAAGTTCAGTTTGTTTGCTGTTAGGTCAGTGACCCAGAGTCACTTGGAAACTTACTTGACCTCTTTGAGCCTCGGTTTCCCTACTGGGAAATGAGATGAGTACAGCCGAGGATGGGGTGAGGCTGGCGTTCCTGGCAAGGAGAAAAGCCTCCGCCTCCTTGGAATGTGGTGGGTCCACTATCTCCTCTGCAGGCCCCTTGTCGGAAGTCTGTTGAAGCTGGCTGTGAAGCTCAACATCACTGCAGAAATATTAGCAGTGAGAAATGAACAGGGGAGGATCCACTTGGTTCTTGGTGACTGCACTCACTCCCCCGGCAGCCTGGAACTCTCCCTGCTTGATGGGTAAGGCCAGGGGGGTGGCTTTACCTGCCCAGAGATAATAGGATGGGATGATGGATAGATGGTTGGAAAGACAGAATAATGGGAGAATGGATGAGTGGGAGGATGGAAGGGTGGGAGAATGAAAGGATGAGAAGATTGATAGGAGGGAAGGAAGATGGATGGATGGATGGATGGATGGATGGATGGATGGATGGGAGTAAATGAATGGATAAATAGTGACTTATCCCTTCTTAAGCTGGGCTGACCAATTTTATGCTGGATCAGGCAACAAGAAATCCAAGTTCAAGCCCCATCTACTAGAGGGAATCAGGAGAGGTGGAGGGCTTCCTGGATGAACTTGGACAGTACTTTCCCAAACTGTATATCAAGCTGCATTGCCGTTGTGGATTGATAACCCACTAGGATCATAAGTGTGAGTCCTAGTAAGAGGTAAAATAGCTACAGAGCCTACCTGGGTTACTTACTTCAGTTACTTGTCACAAGACTGAGTCATGCACAATATGGCAGGAGTTGTCCCCATCGTGGCTAACATGTACTGAACACATATATCATGCTTCACATGCATCATCTCATTGAATCCTCATGACAAGTACACACTAAGCACTGATCATCCATTTATGGACCCTACAAAGTCTCATTGAATATCTGCTGTGTAATGGATCTATGTGTTTGTTCTACATGTGCCACTGTGTGCACTGCTGTGCAGGGTGCCACTCCCTTTGGGCAGCCCTTTGGTGTTTGCCTGTATGTGGGTGTGGATGGACGAGGCCCAGTTTCAGGAGCTTAATGCTGAGACTGTGATGGGCCCAGTGGCCCCTCAGAAAGCTTCTCCATACCAACCCCAGGCCCCTGCACTGCCCATGGCTTTTCTCTTTCAGAGTTGGCTCCCTCCCCATTCAAAACCTTGTTGACAGCCTCACTGGGGTCTTGACTAAGGTCCTTCCTGATCTGGTGCAGCACCAGGTAAGTGGGTAAAGTGGGGGCTCCTGGCCCTGGGCTCCTAGATCTTCTCAAGCTGAAAGAGGCCCCTGGGGTGAGCTTTTCTGAGCCCTTCAGTTTGATAAGTAAATTCATTCATGTCTATGTGTCCATTGATCCATGTTTCCTCTTTCCATCCTTCAAATGCATTAATTGGTTCTTGCTCTGGGCGAGGCCCTGAGCATGTCCACACTACAGCTGAAATGGACTGGCCTGCCCAGAGAAGCTCCCAGTCCACCCCCACTACGGCTGCAGACAGCACTCTTCCAGCCTGGGCTTGGGCACCTCCTCTAGCCAGATGTGCAGCCCTCGCAGACCAGTACACCTTGTTAGAAACAGAGGTCGTGTCAGAATGAACCCTGGCTCGCTGTGTGGTTGGACACTTCATGCACAGGCCTGCGGTTTCTCCTTCTGCCCAGTGGGAGTGCAAGCATATATCTGTGGGAATGCTTAGAAACAAACACTCTCAGACACGGAGAAATAATAGAAAATCTACCCAAGAGAATCCATCCTAAAAGGTTGCTGCTCCCAGAGTCCCCCTCCAGGTACCACTTTGTCTAATTCCCCTCTCTCACCCTGGATCAGGTGTGCCCTCTGGTCAATTCAGTTCTTGCCAACTTGGACATGACCCTGGTGCATGACACTGCCGGTAAGTACCTGCTTCCAAGCCCTCTCCGCTGCTGCAGGAGCAGTGCCTGCCCCCAAGGAGCTCTATCCCCACACCCCATGGGACAGATAGATCCCTCCAACCTCAGCTCTCTCCAGAAATGGTTTCTTTTGCCTTGAAATATACAGAGAATGTTGAGGTATAGGCCTTGTCTCCCCCACATCAACCCTGACACTTGAGAACAACTGGGCTGGTTGGTGGAAGGAGGAGTTGCCCCTGCCAAGCCCAGCCTGAGCTTGCTCAGACCTCCAGAGTTCCCGTTCCCTGACCCTAGGCCTCGGGAGGAATGCTGAATATCCCAGACTCCTCCACACGGAGACCATCACTCAGGTCTGCGGCGGTTGTTTTCTTGTTTTCCAGATAAACTGATCCATGGGCTGACATTTGTCATCAAGGTCTAAGCCTTCCAGAAAGGGACCTGGCCTCTGCTGAGCTGTGAGTGCTGCTCCCAACACCCCAGGATTTGGGGGATACTGCTCTTCCCCTGGAGACAGCAGGGGGCTGTGACAGTAACATCCAAAGAGAGAGACAAACAACCCACATTGACTGCCAGGATGTTATCCTGCATGTAGAAGGGTTCAGGAATCTGAAGAAGGGGCTGCAAATAAATTAATAAAGAGACTAGACATGAAATATAAATATGGAAGGCATTTTGGGGGAGCCAGGGAAGCTTAGCTTTAGTAGCTGAGTTCTCTGAATCTCCGGGCCCAAGGCTTTTTATTCCCACATTTTGCCCTTTAGCAAAGCAAACACACATATCAAAGGTAAAGTGTGGTAAGCAGTAAAGTATCAGGTTGGGGGAACTGCCTTCAGCTGTTCAGCTGTTTGGCCAGTAGCAAGTAATAACATGTAGATTTTCAGGTTTGGGGAAATGCCCTCAGCTGTCTGGCAGCAGGCAATAATATGTATCTTCAGCCCTGCTGACGCCTCAAGGTTCACCAACCTTTGATGAACTTCTTGCACTTATGACCTGCTGGAATTAGTCCCCAGCAAGCGACAAGCACAGATTTGCACAGAGAAGTCCACAGAAATGCTGACAGAGATGGAGAGACATATTCACAACAGAAGAAACATGCCTGGTCATGGATGCACACTCACACCCAAACACATGATCACTCAGACAAAGACACACTCTCACACCAACACATTCACACATGTGCACACATATGCAAACTCGCCACACACAAGTGCCCATGGATACACAGACACACATTCACTCAAACACATGCACAAGGAGCCTCATCACCCCAGACCTGGGCTCCCTCTGTGGCTGAGACAAGACCCCTAGCCCCAGGGTCTCAGCCTCCTCCCCTTTCTCTGGAGGGTTTGGTGATGACCAATATCAACAAGAGTCAGTGACGTCATTCTGATTAGGGTCTTCTCCCAACAGACCATTTCCTGCTGCTCAATCCACTCCCTGCCCAGCTTCCGAGGACTCACAGAAGGCTATCTATTTCCTGGACACTGTTTGGGGACCAGAACAGCCTTTTCTCCAAGGAAACTGTTCCCTCTCCTTTCCCACTACATTCCATATTCTCACCAAATAAAATTGCTCTTTGTCTGCACAGAGTGTCTTGTCATTCCTCACCATCACTTGAGGGCTCTAGGCCTGGGTGTTCGGAGCCATAGAACAGAGTTTGGACCTTACATCGGAGATCTTAATGGTCTTCAGCAGGACCAGGAGGTGTTCAGATGAATATGAATTTCAGAGTGGCTACTAGAATGGGAGGACAGGAGGTTAGGGGTAGATTTAAACCTCCAGGCAAGATTACCACACAAGAAGTAAAAATGGCAGATTTGAGAAATGTTCAGGAGGTGGACCTGGATAGGTGTAGATGAGGACAGGGGCTCCTGTCCATGTCTCAAGTTGGGGAGCTCAAAGGTAACTGGAAATGTGGGAGGGTGAGTTGATTCCAGCAGGAAGATTATGCCTTTAGCTGTGGCCAAGCTGTACAGAAGTACTTGGGCGACCCCAAGAGAGAGTCCAGGAAACTGACCGATACACACTCCTCTTTGCTACTTGCATCTAGTCATACAAGCCCCTTTTCTGTTCTCACAGCAAGAGGAAGCTAAAGATTTTTAAAAAAGGGGGGGGGGACATAGGATCCTGGCCAGATGGCTTGGTTGGTTGGAGAATTGTCCCATACACCAAAAGGTTGCAGTTTGATACCCTGTCAGGGCACATATCTAAGTTGTAGGTTTGATCCCCAGTCATGGTGCATACAGGAGGCAACTGATATCTCTCTCTCTCCCTCTCTTGCTTTTATTTTTCTCTCTCTCCCTTGCTCTCTCTCTCTAAATTCAATAAAAACATATCCTCGGGTTAGGATTTTAAAAAGAAGTGTAGGAGGAAGGACAAACTGGTCCAAAGTGTTCATTGCTGAAAGGCTTGAGGAAGGTAGGGACAGAAAAGGGTCATTGGTCTACCCTAATAAAAGAGAAACATGGTAATTGGCGTATGACCGCTACCCTTCCCATTGGCTAATCAGCATATCCTTATGCAAATTAACTGTCAGCCAAGATGGCGGCCGGCAGCCATGCACTGAAGCGAGCAGAGAGGCTTGCTTGCTTCAGTGACTGCGGACTCCAACGTTCCCCGCCTAACTTGCCGGCCTCTCAGCTGCAAGTCTAAGCAACTATATACTATGTTGCAAATAAGAAGATAAACAAAACCCCAGAAACCAGCCGGACTGAAAGCCAGCCGGACCGCAACATTGTATCGATGTTTTCAGCAGCCGAGGCCTCAGAGCTAAAGCTGGCCCAGAATAAAAAAAGAAAAAGAAAACAAGGAGCAGTTGGGAGCTTCAGTCACCCGCTTCCAGAAAACAGCCCTCAGCCCCTCACCCAGACTGGCCAGGCACCCCAGTGGGGACCCCCACCCTGATCCAGGACACCCTTCAGGGCAAACCAGCCAGCCCCTACCCATCCACCAGGCCTCTATTCTATATAGTAAAAGGGTAATATGCCTCCCGGCACTGGGATCAGCGGAGCAGCGAGGCTCCCGGCACCGGGATCAGCGTGACAGGGGGCAGCGCCCAAACCCCCTGATCGCCCTGCGGCTCTGTGTGTGACAGGGGGCGGGGCCACAACCTCCCTATCTGCCCTGCTCTGTGCCTGATAGGGGGGAGCTCCCCAATCCCCTGATTGCCCTGCGGCTCTGTGTTTGACAGGGTGCAGAGCACCAACCCCTTGATCGGCCCTGCTCTGTGGGTGATAGAGGGTGGCGCCCCAACCCCCCTCCACGGGCCTTGCTCTGTGTGTGACAGGGTAGAGCCATAACCTCCCCATTGGCCCTGCCCTGAGTGTGACAGGGTGCAGCGCCCCAACCCCCTGATCTGCCCTGCTCTGTGTGTGACAGGGGGCGGTGCCCCAACTCCCCTATCGGCCCTGCTCTGTGCGTGACAGTGGGGAGCTCCCCAACCCCCTGATCGAGCCTGCTCTGTTTGTGACAGGGTACAGAGCCCCAACCCCCTCCACGGGCCTTGCTCTGTGTGTGACAGGGGGCGGTGCCCCAACTCCCCTATCGGCCCTGCTCTGTGCGTGACAGTGGGGAGCTCCCCAACCCCCTGATCCGCCCTACTCTGTGAGTGACAGGGGGCGGTGCCCCAACCCCCCAATCGGCCCTACCCTGAGTGTGACTGAGGGTGGCATCACAACCTCCCGATCCACCCTGCTCTGTGCATGATGGGGCGGCGCCCCAACTCCCCAATTGGCCCTGCTCTGAGCCTGACCAGGGGCTGCACTTAGGGATTGGGCCTGCCCTCTGCCACCCGGGAGCAGGCCTAAGCCAGCAGGTCGTTATCCCCCGAGGGGTCCCAGACTGCGAGAGGGCACAGGCTGGGCTGGGGGACCCCCCTCCCCACCTCCACGAGTGCACAAATTTTTGTGCACCGGGCCTCTAGTCCTATATAATAAAAGGCTAATATGCAAATTGCCCAAATGGTGGAACGACTGGTCGCTATGATGTGCACTGACCACCAGGGGGCAGATGCTCAATGCAGGAGCAGCCCCCTGGTGGTCAGTGTGCTCCCACAGAGGGAGCACCGCTCAGCCAGAAGCCAGGCTCCCCAAGCGGGCCTAAGCTGGCAGTCGGACATCCCCAAGGGCTTTCGGACTACAAGAGGGCACAGGCCGGGCTGAGGGACCCCCCCCCCCGACTCCCGTGCATGAATTTCATGCACCAGACCTCTAGTTGTATATAAAAAGATGATTGATACCGCAGGTGAGTGTCATAGTTTTGGAGGAAGAAGACTAAAGGAACTAAGAAGAGGAAGGTTTTAAGGATATTGAGACTGTTAATGCAGATAAGATTTATGAAAAACTGAATGCAAGAAGGAAGAAGAACAGGGCTACCCAGGATGGGGAAGGTTGTCCCTTCAAATAAAAAACAAATGTGCTATCATAGTTTGAGATCCTTATTGAACTCACTCAACCCTTTCACTCCACACATGAGGGTACTGAGCCTTGTAGTTTATATGAATGACTTGCACAAGGTCAGAGAGTGACAAAAAAGCAAATCAAGAACTGAAACATCCCAGACTTCACAGAAAATCTTGTCCCTTGCTCTTTGGGAGACCTCACTGACCTTGTGAAATTAAGCAGATTCAGGGTAGTGTTTCTCAATCCCTGCCAAATATTTGTCACCATGCCCAGACCCACCACTGTCTGCACCTACCATTGCCACCAACCAACGTGACATCATGGGAGGACAGTCCCAGAGTTCGGAGTTCAGAACTGCAAGAAGGCAATTGTAGGAAACCAGCATGTGTCTCCTGGTGAGGACTTAAGGGAGGAAGCATCGTTCACACTCACAGAATTATGAGATCTTTGCGCTCAGGATGAGTAAATTCCATCAACAGCTGCATGATCATTGTGAATGTCTAATTAGTGACCCGAAGTACAGAGGACCTTCCTGAATGAGAGTCGCCATCAGGGCCTGATTGGGCTCAGGGAGGATCCAAGCATTAGCTACCTTCATGTTCCTTTGGGGCAGGTCAACACCGAGAGTCCTCCTTGGCTGAGGGTCTGAAAATCAATGTGGATAAGGGCAGGCACACACACCGGGACCATCAGAATTGGTCTTGCTGCCCCATGACCATGGCACCAAACTACATTCCTGCCTAGACACACTTCCACTGCCCATTCTGGACCATTTTCCAGCTGCTCCCTGGGCTTCTGCCGGTAGCTCACAGATGCGTCTTTTCCCTCCCCTAACAATTTCAATTTGTAACTAACTAGTCTAATACTCCCCTGGATACAAAACAGTCTGAGAGGTGGCAGGTTAATGAGAACACATTTATGACTTTTAAATAGTGACATTTTAACACCTAAAAACAACTCCCTAGAGCCCTAACCGGTTTGGCTCAGTGGATAGAGCGTCAGCCTGTGAATTGAAGGGTCCCAGGTTCGATTCCGGTCAAGGGCATGTACCATGGTTGCGGGCACATCCCCAGTGTGGGGTGTGCAGGAGGCAGCTGATCGATGTTTCTCTCATCGATGTTTCTGACTCTCTGTCCCTCTCCCTTCCTCTCTGTAAAAAATCAATAAAATATATATTTTTTTAAAAACTACCTAGAAGGATGTCAGTGAAAATGGCAGACTAAAGACCTCTTGCCAGCTAGTGTGGCTCAGTGGTTGAGCATCGACCTTTGAACCAGGAGGTTGAGGTTTGATTCCCGGTCCGGGTACATGCCTGGGTTGCGGGCTTGATCCCCAATATGAGCAGTTGATCAATGATTCTCTCTTATCATTGATGTTTCTATCTCTCTCTCCCTCTCCCTTCCTCTCTGAAATCAATAAAAAATATATCTTTAAAAAAGACCTCTGAAAATTATCTCCTACGTAAAAGCAATGAGAAAAACAGCAACAACAACAGAAATGGTCAGAACCAACTTTTTCAGAACTCTTGCAATTAACCAGAGACTTACAGGAACCTGGGGGGCATTTATTCAATTGATATATCATCTCGGGCTCTGTGAGCCTGCCTTGTTCAGTAGCATTTCCTCTCGTATTCTACAGAGGCCACTAAGGACTCCAGAGAATATGCAGAGCAAATATCAAAGGTTTTCAGTGAGTTGGATGAAGTTGATCCACCAGGGGGAGTGAAGACTGTGGTTCTCACCATAACCATGAACCCTCTGGACCACAAGGGGGCAGGCACTGGCCCCATCACGCACAGGGTCCTACCTAGCAGAGTGCTCTCTGAAAGAAAGAAGGAAGACGGGTCATTCACCATGGCCAGCCATTCAGAGCAACATCTGTCTTGATATAGATATAGATATAGATATAGATATAGATATAGATATAGATATAGATATAGATATAGATATAGATATAGATAGATATAGATAGATATAGATATAGATAGAGAGATATAGATATAGATATAGATATAGATATAGATATAGATATAGATAGATATAGATATAAATAGAGATGATATAGATATGTAGATATATATGTATACACTGAGTGGCCAGATTATTATGATATGTAGATATATATGTATACACTGAGTGGCCAGATTATTATGACCGGCCAGATTATTATGACC